TAATTGTAATGTTCCTTTAAAATAAATCAAACTTTGTCAATAAAGATGATAAAATAATAATCTTTTATTCAATCTATTTTAAATAACGCCCTCAGTTGGTTCGGTGTTGAGTTTAACGCCCATCAACTTATGGAAGGTTATTAATTAAGGCAACAACACCAGTTTATGGACGAAGAATACTTTAGTCCTGAACATTAGTAAACTCCCAGTGTCTATACAGCGAAAAGCAGACCTCTCGACGTACATAAGTCGTCAGTTATGTAGTATAGCGGACTTTTTCCATTATGTTATTTATATATTTAAACAACTGCTTGCACTCTATACAGATGCATGGTAACATTACCGACCTAAAAGTTAAAAGATATGCTAAGACTCGAACATTTCTAGGAAAAAGATCCTTAGCCAAGATTTTATGCACATATATACAAATTGATAATGACTTTTCGTTGATTGTACATTATTCAAAGGTGCAAAACCCGGTTACTTTTTCAAGAAGCCAAATAACAACAATAAAAACATTGTTCTGTTTCCCTAGAGCGCCATGATCCCATTCATCTCAGCTACACTTTGTTTTGGGAGGCACAGAGATTAATGACTCAAGAGGCTGAACTCATATATAATCAAGAGGTTATATATGAAACCTTTTGTTCAAAGTATGAAACGTATCTGTATCTCTTCTTCATGTACTGTAGTAGAGTGGGCTACCACACTAGTCACGGTAGCTCCACCACGTGTGAACATAAGGTGAACAGAATTAGCAGAGGCTCACCTTAAGTATGCAGTCTTCAGAGGGCAGCGGTAGAAGCGAGTCTAGGCTTCGGAGGCAGGGAAGGGATGAGACGACGAGGTAGGCGATTCCTCTAATTACTGCCAACAAGTAGATACAGGTCCAGATTTCTGACAGCTGATGTCCTCAACACTGGTGTGAATGGTTCTATCTGTCTTCTTCCCCCGGGGGTGCGCGGCTCCCCTGCGCATGGGTCGTCTTCCACCCCCGTGCTGCCGGTTACAGACAACACTCCCGCCGGCGGGAATTTTGAATGTGGCTCCCGCCACAGAAGTAGTTTTAACATTCAAATTCAGATTTTTTATTCAAAAGAATATATGTACATTCTACATGTATGTACAACAGAACATAAGAGTAATGTATAATTGTGGGGGATAGGAGTTACACATACTAATGAAGCCACTATAACGCAAATCGTTTCGGGCAAATTAAACTAAGTCGAACAACTCTGAAGCGATAATTTGTGATGATAATTTTAAAATGTATTTGTGAATGAAGGACTAAGTGGTGATTGATCTCTTGGCTGCTGCATTATTTTCCTTATGCAAATAGTTGTTAAGAAAATTCTGAAAAATTATAATGTTTCAATATATTGGTTTAACTATGATGTAAATATTAAAAAAATATAAGTAATAAATAACAATTTGCAAGCACTGAATTTATATTTTCTTTTCCTTTACACAAACAAATGTAAATGCATATAGTTTAGTCTATCAAACATTTATACAATTAAGAATTTTCTCTGTTAATTTATGATTTACCGAATTTAATGGAGTATGTACAATTTTATTAAATTCAAATTAACCAAATACAAATACAATAAAGTAGGACATTCCTACACCTGACGTTCATCCCCCCCTTCCTCACACACACCTGAAGTCCACCACCCCTCACACACACTTGAAGTTCATCCCCCCTCCCTCACACACACCTGAAGTCCATCCCCCTCCCTCACACACACGTGAAGTCCACCCCTTCCCTCACACACACCTGAAATTCATCCCCCACCCTTACACACACCTGAAGTCCACCCCCACCCTCACACATACATGAAGTCCACCCCCGCACACACACATCTGGAACCCACCCATCACACACACCTGGAGCCTACCCCTCACACACACACTTGGAGTCCTCCCAACACAACACACTTGGCTCTTCCCTTACGTTACAAATACAATTTTCTCAATACAATGTTAAATTAAACTTCTAAAACTAACATAAGACAAATTAAAGCACAGAGCTAGCCTATTTCGCAGAAAATTTCCTTAGCCAAACTAGTTATAGGTTCACAAACAGCAACAATATTTCGAGTACAGTATGTAGGTCTTGGCATCATGTGAGTGGTTAGGTATTCTGCCTCTACCATCCTAGCGTGTCTAAGAGCGAGTGGGAGGGGGAATGGAGAGGGAGTGGGAAAGGGAGGGGTAGTAAGAGGGAGGGGAGGAATGGGAAGAGGAGGATGGGAGAGAAAGGGCGTGAACGGGAGGGGAAGTGAGAGAGCTGTGAGAGTCGTAGGGAAATAAAAAGAAGGGTAGAATGAGAAGGATGGGAAACAGGAAGGGGGGAATGAGAGTTGGAGTGGAAAAGAAAAGGGGCAGAGATAAATTGGGAGAGAAACAGGAACATGGATAGACGGGCCAGGCAGAGAGCGAAGGACGGACAAGGCAAGTGAGGACGGGCAAGTGGAGACAGGCAAGTGAGGACGGGCAAGTGAGGACGGGCAAGTGGAGACAGGCAAGTGAGGACGGGCAAGTGAGGACGGAAGTAACCGATGAATGGATCAGGGTGGCTGATAAATATGACTCCCGAAGCACAGTAGTCTACAAACTCGGTTCACAATCGAGGGACTCAGGTCCAATCCCCGGTCAGGACAGAAACGGCTGAGCACGATCCCTTTCACCTGATGCCTCTGTTCACCTAGCAGTAAAATAGGGACCATGAAGATAAGCAAATGTTGCATTCCAGGGAAGGTCTGTCGTTGACCTAAAAGGGTAGGATGAGAGACCTCGAAAAGCCTAAGTACAGAATCAAAATTTTCTAATGACACCAAACTAGACAGCAAATAACACTCTTTGAGGAACAGAGAATGAAATCTAACCCATATACGCTAGTTAATAACAAATGATATTTAATGTGGACTAAAGTAAAAGGCTGCATATTGTAAACAGAAAGGAAAAAAAACAAGCTCACAAAAAACACTAAGATACTAAGACAAGTCAGCGAGTGATTGCGACTAATGACTTAGAACCAGGCAAGCCATGTATAGAGGCTGTATGGAAGGCAACTTATGGGTTTTAAACGTCGTCGTCCCTTCACTTTCTATTGTGTGGTATACTGAATAAGAATAGTAAGATACCAAGGGGTGGCTACATTGATCCTTGTAGCCTAGTACTCTAGATGAAGGCAACCAACCCCTCGTAAGCTCCAGGTAACCTTAATACAACCTAACGGTAACCTAAAGGTAAACTAAAGGTAAACTAAAGGCAAGAGCCTGCAACAACAGTAACTCTCGAGTTAAGTCTCTATAATATAAATCGTAAATTATCCTCGTGTAGGTCAGGTCTCCTTATATAACTGGTACACTTCGAGAGTTTAATAACTGGCAGGTATTCATGTGTCTACTGGTGTGAATAATAAACTATACATTAAAATGTATGAATTATGCATTTAGTGGAGAGCCGGTTTTCTGAGTGCATGTTAAACTGTCCTGGACAACGAATCTGTATGCATAGTATATTAGGAGGGGTTGAGGGTAGGCGGAGGTGCACATGCCCCACACACCAGTCGGCCCATTAACACCAGATACCAGGAACTGCCCAGCGCCAGACGCCAGGAACTAGTCCAGTGCCAGACGCCAGGAACTGGTCCAGTGCCAGACGCCAGGAACTAGTCCAGCGCCAGACGCCAGGAACTGGTCCAGTGCCAGACGCCAGGAACTGGTCCAGTGCCAGACGCCAGGAACTGGTCCAGCGCCAGACGCCAGGAACTAGTCCAGCGCCAGACGCCAGGAACTGGTCCAGTGCCAGACGCCAGGAACTGGTCCAGCGCCAGACGCCAGGAACTGGTCCAGTGCCAGACGCCAGGAACTGGTCCAGCGCCAGACGCCAGGAACTGGTCCAGTGCCAGACGCCAGGAACTGGTCCAGTGCCAGACGCCAGGAACTAGTCCAGCGCCAGATGCCAGGAATTGGTCCAGTGCCAGACGCCAGGAACTGGTCCAGCGCCAGATGCCAGGAATTGGTCCAGCGCCAGACGCCAGGAATTGGTCCAGCGCCAGACGCCAGGAACTGGCCCAGCGCCAGACGCCAGGAACTGGTCCAGCGCCAGACGCCAGGAACTGGTCCAGCGCCAGACGCCAGGAACTGGTCCAGCGCCAGACGCCAGGAACTGGTCCAGCGCCAGACGCCAGGAACTGGTCCAGCGCCAGACGCCAGGAACCGAACCATCACCAGACATGGTGCTTGATTGACGGGTGATCAACTATGTTTGGGAAAGCATAAAAGGTAGAAGTCTACTCCACATAATGGCTGTGAGATGGATGGGGGCGAAGAATTCAGATGTATAATTAACGACATATACACACACCAGAGAGTCAGAAATGTTTGATTTGGTGCTGGACTTAAGGCCAATAAACTTCTGAAGGCCACCACAATATATATTCACAGATCTACCAGCAAGTATACTAAGGTCCTGAATATAGTTTAGGGACTAACTTATATTATCTGCAGATAAACTGAGATTTAGGGTACACCTATCAGAATATATTCACTGTTAAATAGGGTGTATACTTTGATGTGTGTATTTCTTTGTGGAAGAGTGCCTATGCTTGGTGTATAGAACACAGACTAATGACAACGAGGTACAATAATACCGGGAGAAGTAGACTTTATTTGTAGATAACATGTTGTTTGTTGGGGGATTTTTGTGTTATTGATAAAGCCCTTACAGACAAAATTGTCTTAACAAATGAGGTAGAGTTTCTTCTCTGCACCAGTTATCATACTTGAATGTTTGGTAGATTTAAAAGTGATATTCGTAAAAATATACATAAAAAAGTAATTTGGCAAATTGGTTACAGAAAAGCTTTTGTGACCGAGGGCGGAGCTATAGGCTGAGGGAGGAGCTTAAGGATGGGCGGAGCCTATGGCAGCTACTGCGGCAGGGCCTGCACCGTCAGGCCTACACCCACACCGTGGCCTGCAGGCGTCGGGGCTCCTGCTCTCTCTCTCTCTTGGACTTGTCAAGTCTCTACACCCAAGCTGCCAGAACCCGTCTCTACTACTTCTAGGAACTACCTCAGCTACAATCACCACCGCCAACAGCTATGAGACCTCACTTACTTGTCGTGTCGGCAGTAATGTGTCTCCTGCAGGCCACCGAGGCGACGTTGAAGCAGGATAGCGAGTTCAGCAACCCTGGGACGGGTCTTAAGTGGCTCCGAGAGCTGACGTCAGGTATCCTACAGCCTCTCTCAAGACAGAAGCGTGTCATCGGTCTGCCAGTGGATTCAATTTATGAGGTAAATATTTATTTTCTAAGTTCCTCTTGCTTGTTGAATTAGGTTTAAATATTGTTGAAGTATGTGTACAATTTATCATGCAGTACATGCATAATTTCTCTCCATTATCCTGTGAAAACCTATTTGGGTTCCCGTTGTCGTTGTTGGGTTACCCTGTTACCTAGCAGTAAATAGGTACCTGGGAGTTAGTCAGCTGTCACGGGCTGCTTCCTGGGGTTGGAGGCCTGGTCGAGGACCGAGCCGCGGGGACATTAAAGCCCCGAAATCATCTCAAGTTAACCTGACCCGAAGCCTGTTAGGCTTATCGAGGTCCACCTAGGCCAGTTATTGACCTTAATCACTCTGTAACCCTCAACATTTGCCTAACTCCATTACCCCAGCCACTTGGACTGGACAGTAGAACGACTGTCTTGCATTTTGCCAGTCGGCGTTCAATCCCCGACCGTCCAAGTGGTTGGCCACCCTTCCTTCCCTCCATCTAATCCTAAATCCTTATCTACATTTTCCTTCCAAGTGCTATATAATCGTAATGGCTCAGATCCATTACATGCGTATGAATCTGCCTCTTGCTCGAACTCAACGCTATTAAACGCTACAATTTTAAACAAAAATACAAAACATTGTATTCAGAGAATTAATTTGAAGTTAGTTCACCAAATCGTTCCCCTCCATCTTGGAAAGAGAATCCAAGTTGGAAGCGCGCGGAGCTCTCGCAAGAGCATTTCCAGAATCTCAACAATATACCCAAATCTAGTGAAAGGATTTAGAGTATATTGTATGCAGACCTGTTGGGTACGCTGCTCTTATTGGCTATAATTCACTGTTCACAGGTGGCCATGCTGTCGTATACTGTAGTGTGGACCTGAGCCGTACAGTGTATACTGTAGTGTGGACCTGAGCAAAAATATCTGATGAAAAAAAAAAAGAAATCGTATAAATATTATAAACGTTATACATATTATAAATCGTTATAAATATTATAAACGTTATTTTGTAATGTTCAATGAACATTACAAAAAAAAAAAAATGCAAATTTCAAGTCAAGACTTCAAGCCATCTCCATTCTGTTTGGTCAATGGAAGATTCTACGTAATGCGCAGATTTTAGACTAATATTGACTTTCTTGGCGTTTTGTGTTCACTTAAGTTTAAATTAGTTAATTGAGATAATAAAATACATTTCTAGAGCAGCTTAGGCTATGTATGTCTTCCCTCTATTCCACGGTCCCTCAAGGGGTCTCAGTCAATACAATACATAAAATATAATCATATTTTACATAATTTCGGTTTATTGAGTCATATCAGCATTCTTCCCGGTATTTAAAACAAAATAAGCGTGATATTGATAATACAGTATTAGGCTAGCTATAGGAAGATTTTCATACTTTTGTTTTTCTATGTGCAAGCAAAACGGTGGTTCACAGAACCTTCTAGAATCTTCTGATGATAATCGTCATCACAAGATTGTCTCCACCAATCAGAAAAAGAGTAATAGCGTTACATTATTTGATTGGCAACACTATACCAATATCCTGGTCCAACCGGGTAGGGAGGGCTCTCTTTCCTAGTATGTATGCTAGGATTGACTGTGATGAGAATAGAGAGCTCTATTCTAGCTTTTGGTCCTCTACTCCAGCAATGGAAGGAGGACGCGTGAAGCCTCACAGCCGCCAAGTTAGTTTGTATCGGCATATTAATACTGAGAGTGTTGCTGTTCCCTGATGATATAATGCAGCTTCGGGAGATTTTAAAAACTCACCGCGAGGTAGAGCCCCGGGATGTGTAAATGTTCCCTTCACCACGGGCATCAATAGCCCGTAAATCTTACAGTTATTGATTGATTGAAGATTAAGCCACCCAAGAGGTTGCACAGACATAAATAGCCCGTAATCGTACAGTTGATTGATAAAGATTAATCCATCCAAGAGGTGGCAAGGGCATGAATAGCCCGTAACTCGTACAGTGTTTTTGTTTTAAATTCAACTACTCGGAACAAAACGTTGCAGGTAGCACCGGTTATGGTGAGCCCGTAGTGGACTTACCTGACACAGGAGCGGGCCTGTATGTGTCGTACAGTGTTCAGGCGTGTGGTTATATAGCAGTGGCTTCATAACCACACCTTCCTTCAAGACAGTACCTGCAACAACTATGGACAGAATGTACACAATATGGATTGTGTCACCCAAATTAAGTTCACATTTTGTGTTATTGATTTTGTAGAGGACCAGTTACAGAAAGGGATAACCAAACCTTACATATCCTTGGCCCAGTATTATACATATATATGTGCTAATATAGGCCTAAGATTGCATAACTTAGGCTTAAAAGTACCTATTTAGGGCTAGGTTAGGTTAGCCTTTTACACTTTTTGTTATGCACAATAGTGGAAAAGTAAATTATTGGTTAGGGTTCAACAGTACATATTTTGTACACTCCAGTCTCTGCGTTATCCTTACTGGAGAATTGGTTGACACTCCACAACCCCGGCAATCCCCAGCAGCTACAGCCTCTTCCTCCCGCAGATGGAATGGTCGCTCAACTTCCCCTTCGACACCTACACCTTCTACAGGTCCAAGTTGAGGCTCGCTATCCCCGTTACGATCCCCTTCTCGTCGGGAATCATCGCCGCCGGCCGCAAGAGATCTGTTGACTTCGACGCCGGCCAGATGGTGGCGGCCACGGACAGTTCCACCCATTCGTACTCTCTCTGGCCCCAGACCAGCCACGAGGACCACCACGAGCGGCACTCAAGGGCCAGGCGGGCCGCCAGGAAGGAACGTTCAGCCATTTACAAACGCTTGGAGGATGTCCTACACGAGTGAGTACCAAACTGCTATCTTTAAATATCTTATAACTCCCAAGTTACTCTTATGCTGTAGAAGTCAGTGCTCGTGTATATTTTAATATTACACTCATAATTGGTTAATTGAATATTTAAATGAGGCGTTCAATACAACAACCCGGTAATTGGCAATTGTAATGTTAACAGGCACAGCGAATCATTTTTGAGACGTTGTTTTTCTTGTTGATTGATGGTCTTAAAAAGGAAAAGTGAATTACATAAAAAATATCAATACACAAGTTAATTGCGTATTGCTTTAATAACTTGATATTCTCTATACCATATGTATGTCATTGTTCAACTAAAATGACCATAAATACTAGACAAAACAACCCGTTTCTTGTAAATGGTAAATTTACATCTATTGTAAAACAGGCTCCACCATCAGACGTTACAGGTTTCTAAATAGCGAAGAAATAGAGACTTTGTAACACTACCCATTGAAACAGGTGTTTTGCAACACTAACAATCATATTGTATATAAAAATCAAGAATATATGGAACCAATCGTTCCCAATCGGGGATCCGGGGGATTAATATTTTGTTGAACTGAATGCCTCCTGTTATCATTTACATGCAGGAATGGTAGTAATAGCCTAAGCTACTCTATCCTTTCGAGATGTATCTTATTGTCTCAATAAACGTATTTGAACTTGAACTTGATTTACATGCAGTTTCAACTCAGAATAATAATGCAGAGATGATGTCTTATGAATGTATTTCTCGTAGCAGTGGCTGCGGTCAATTTTGCTATGTATATCTATGTAATTGTAGGTGTCAATAGGTGAACACGTGGTTGTAAGGGATACACAGGTGAACACGTGGTTGTAGGGGTCCACAGGTGAACACGTGGTTGTATAGGGCGGTCCACAGGTGACAACATGGCTGGAAATAAAGGAATGAGACAGGAGAGGTTGGGAACAGGAAACCTGTTTGGTTTATCGAGGTCCCCCTAGGCCTACTACTGACCTCAATAGAACTTGGTATGCTGCCTTTCTAAATACTGATCCTAAACACTTTAAATGACACCGTTAAAAATTAACTCAAGAAATTCCACACACACACATATATATATAAATAAACACGTTCATTCCTTATTATAGAGGAGATATACTACCGAGTTTCCTGCAAAAAATATACATATACGTATATATATATATATATATATATATATATATATATATATATATATATATATATATATATATATATATATATATATATATATATATATATATATATATATATATATATATATATATATATATATATATATATATATATATATATATATATATATATATATATATATATATATATATATATATATATATATATATATATATATATATATATATATATATATATTTATATATTTGTTTCTCCCTACAAAACTGCGGATTTTGTGTGGGCAGAGTTGGAGTGGACGGTCGCAGCTGCCTCCTGAGGGCCGTCTGCGAGGTGGCTGAGGCGCCCTTTGACCAGGGTATCGTCGGAGGGATGATCAACAGAGTCCTCACGTGAGTATTGGTCTAGGTGAGGGTATAGTCGGGCATGGGACAGTAGCAGGAGTGTGTACGGGACCGATTGGGAACATGACTGAGGCCGTGACATAGGGCATGAATGAGACCGTGGAATAGGGCATGAATGAGACCGTGGAATAGGGCATGAATGAGACCGTGGAATAGGGCATGAATGAGACCGTGGAATAGGGCATGAATGAGACCGTGGAATAGGACATGAATGGGGCCGTGGCAGACGGCATGTGTAAAAGGACGCGGTGGGGCCATGTATAAATCCATAATTGTGTTGGAATAGATGAGGCTATGATGCAGCATCTCTTACCTGTGCACTTCGTCAGATTCTCTCAGCACCCCATGTTGACGTGTATACCACGTCCTGGTATGTATGAGAAGCTCAGCTACAAGAGTTTACATTTTGCTTGTGTATGCGTATTGGTTTACCTGTGCTTAAGCATCCCACATGTTGTCTCCTGCATTGCTAATTGTCAAAATTAACACCATTTTGCTGAGTAGCAATAGAGATAACATTTTGTAAAGTCTCAACAATGACAGTATTTTTCTTAGTGTCAACAGACAGTATTTTTATGTGTCAATAGAGACAAAATTATTCTGTGTCAATAAACACAGCATTTTTCTGTGTCAATAGACAGCATTTTCTAAGTGTCAATGGAGACAGTATTTTTCTAAGTATCACTAGAGACAGCATATGACCGTCTCTAGTGTTAATTTACGTTTATTTGTGAACCAGTTAAGTTCAATAATGAACCAGTTGTGTTCTTCCATTGAACCTGCACATTCGTCCTTGAAACTCGTCACCAGTACAGTTTTCTTTGACACTTGAGTAACATCACGCCAGTCACCCATTTACGTTTATGCAAGTATATTAGTGCAAGTAAACCTAATGTTGATGTAACATGAAGAGCGCTTCACATACCTGAGATATCATCTACGTTAATATATTTTACGACATTGTTGCTGTCAATTACCACAAGGCGCATTAAATAAATTTCAGAGCCGTCGATAGAATCAGTCGTCCAGATTGAATCTAGAAATAATACCCAGTGACTGCCGGAACATATTTGTTCATTGTGCTTGTTGCAAGACAGAACTTCGGGCTGAGTCTAGCATGGATACTAGGCTTCTTTCCTGAGGTTAGTCTTTACTCCCATGCACCGCTGTTACTCCGTAGGGACAAGCGGTTGTGGTCCGACCGACATCATTTCCCTCCTGGGTCGTGATATCAACATGTGAGTGTAGCTATTGGTTCTGAGTGGTGTGTTTCCACAGTTCTTCCTGGGTACTATCTTGTCTGATGCTGGATAACTCTCTATCCAAAAGTGTGTAAAAACTTGAATTTGTTTCGAATAGTCCTTTTTATTAGCAATTATAAAACCTGCAGTTTTGGTGCTGGGGAATGTGATCAGTAAAGCGATTGTTCTGTACCTCAGTACAAGTCTTGCCGATTCTGTGATAGTACGGCAAATAATCGGAGAGTTCTGGATCCCCTCCCCAAAAAAAAGTACATACCTTATTCTACGCTGTGACAAAATTTACATCTCTTGTAACCCATGCATTACTTGAGCACATTGATTTTTGTTAATTAAATCTCAGTGCATCTATAGTCAGATTAAGTGCTGCCATCTGGTGTGCTTTCTTTCTAATTTTACAGGAAATGTAGCGATTGTTGTGGCTTTGGGCTCCTTGCTTGCTCCTGTGGGCAAGAAGTTGGCTATAAACGAAGAATGTCATGTATGTTAGTGAATCTCATGACGAGATAAATTTATTTCTAACAATGTATTCAATGAGAAAAATCCGTAAGAGCTGTTATGAGTGTTCGAACCTCTGCAGTGGGTAGACCCAGGCACACGCCCTAGTCAACTAGAGCGTGTGCATGGGAACACCCGTCGTGTAGGTTCGAACCTTCATCACGGCTCCTACGGATTTTTTCATTAATACATCACGTTAGTGTGATTACTCTCTGTGTAATGTATTCAGTACTCAGCAGTCCCCGTGGCCCTTTGCGAGGGATTTGGCCCGGGTTCGTATCCTGGCCGGGAAGGATTGACTGGGCGCCAATCCTTAACTGCATGTAGTCTCTGTTCACCCAGCAGTGAAGGGGTACCTGGTTGTTAAACGAATTGACGGGTCGTATTCCAGGGAAAATTAGGATTAAGGACCTGCCCGAAACGCTATGCGTGCTAGTGGCTTTATAAAAATGTAAGTAAGTAATTATCAAAAGAAGGCACCAAGCCGGGAAGGCTATGTAGTACTACAAGAATGTAAGAACTCTTGTATATGTAAATAAAATAAAATACTATCTTAGCTCAGTGTTGGTCCTATACATATTTTTATGTTATGAACCTTTTTCCACTTAAGTCAATTCTCCTCCGTACTCTACTTGTGCACATGTCATCATTTGGACTCTCGCATTTCTCTACCCACAGAGCGTCGCTGGCGGGTGAACCCAACACGGCCGAGGAAGGGAGGGAATACGAGGTCTTCCTGGAGGCCGAGCGTCTGGGTAGACAGACCGGGAGATGCGAGGAGCACTTCCCCCAGTGTAAGACCTCGCCCTTCGACCTCATCCCCTACGCCCTCCACTCAGTCGTCTAATCGACCTCATCCCCTACGCCCACCACTCAGTCATCTAATGAACCTCATTCCCTACGCCCTCCACTCAGTCATCTAATCGACCTCATCCCCTACGCCCACCACTCAGTCATCTAATGAACCTCATTCCCTACGCCCACCACTCAGTCATCTAATCGACCTCATCCCCTACGCCCTCCACTCAGTCATCTAATCGACCTCATCCCCTACGCCCTCCACTCAGTCATCTAATCGACCTCATCCCCTACGCCCTCCACTCGGTCATATAATCGACCTCATCCCCTACGCTCTCCACTCAGTCATCTAATTGACCTCATCCCCTACGCCCTCCACTCAGTCATCTAATCGACCTCATCTCCTACGTCCTCCACTCAGTCATCTAATCGACCTCATCTCCTACGTCCTCCACTCAGTCATCTAATCGACCTCATCTCCTACGTCCTCCACTCAGTCATCTAATCGACCTCATCTCCTACGTCCTCCACTCAGTCATCTAATCGACCTCATCCCCTACGCTCTCCACTCAGTCATCTAATTGACCTCATCCCCTACGCCCTCCACTCAGTCATCTAATCGACCTCATCTCCTACGTCCTCCACTCAGTCATCTAATCGACCTCATCCCCTACGTCCTCCACTCACTCATCTAATCGACCTCATCCCCTACGTCCTCCACTAAGTCATCTAATCGACCTCATCCCCTACGCCTCCACTCAGACATCTAATCCTTAAGTCCATCGGGAAAAGTGCCATTTGAAAACAGCAAAATCTGTCAGGAAACGGTAAGGACGTCTGCCGTGGGGGCCTCCAATAAGGTCATCGACTCTTCAAGCCAACACAGTTGTTCAATGATCAACCATTAAGTATATTTTAGCCTTGAACTTAAAGACTAAACGTCACTACAGCAACCTCTCATCACACATGCACTGAGATGTTTGAGACGCCTCTTGGAGTATACATGCATGATGTGTGAACTCCTTTACCAGTGTTAGATAAAATGTGTAGCGACAACAACATTGCCTACCGGGGATTTACTCAGCTTTAGTATGTGGCGCCAACGGCAACTACTTTCTCTGATAGACCAACAGTTCAAATGCATTAGTCTCTGCTATTGTCTTACGATGGCGTTGTCGTTTAAATTGTGGGATAATTGTCAATTGTGGTATAATTGGCTCGCCTGGCAGCGTTACCATGTGGTATAATTGTTAACTGTTGCACTGCCGATTTTTGGTTAAATTATTCTCCTGACAGTGTTGTCGTCTGGCAGCGTCTCCGTCTGGCAGTGTTATCGTCTGGCAGCGTCTCCGTCTGGCAGTGTTATCGTCTGGCAGCGTCTCCTTCTGGCAGTGTTGTCGTCTGGTAGCGTCGTCATCTGGCAGTGTTATCGTCTGGTAGCGTCTCCGTCTGGCAGTATTATCGTCTGGTAGCGTCTCCGTCTGGCAGTGTTGTCGTCTGGTAGCGTCGTCGTCAGGCAGCGTTGTCGTCTGGTAGCGTCTCCGTCTGGCAGTGTTGTAGTCTGGTAGCGTCGTCGTCTGGCAGTGTTGTCGTCTGGTAGCGTCGTCGTCAGGCAGCGTTGTCGTCTGGTAGCGTCTCCGTCTGGCAGTGTTGTCGTCTGGCAGCGTTGTCGTCTGGCAGCGTCTCCGTCTGGCAGTGTTGTCGTCTGGTAGCGTCGTCGCCTGGCAGTGTTGTCGTCTGGTAGCGTCGTCGTCTGGCAGTGTTGTCGTCTGACAGCGTTGTCGTCTGGCAGCGTTGTCGTCTGGCAGCGTCTCCGTCTGGCAGCGTTGTCGTCTGGCAGCGTCTCCGTCTGGCAGTGTTGTGGTCTGGCAGCGTCTCCGTCTGGCAGTGTTGTCGTCTGGTAGCGTCGTCGTCTGGCAGTGTTGTCATCTGGTAGCGTCGTCGTCTGGCAGTGTTGTCGTCTGGTAGCGTCGTCGTCTGGCAGTGTTGTCGTCTGGTAGCGTCGTCGTCTGGCAGTGTGGTCGTCTGGTAGCGTCGTCGTCTGGCATTGTAGTCTGGTAGCGTCGTCGTCAGGCAGCGTTGTCGTTTGGTAGCGTCTCCGTCTGGCAGTGTTGTAGTCTGGTAGCGTCGTCGTCTGGCAGTGTTGTCGTCTGGTAGCGTCGTCGTCTGGCAGTGTTGTCGTCTGGTAGCGTCGTCGTCTGGCAGTGTGGTCATCTGGTAGCGTCTCCGTCTGGCAGTGTTGTCGTCTAGCAGCGTCTCTATCTGGCAGTGCTGTAGTCTGGTAGCGTCGTCGTCAGGCAGCGTTGTCGTCTGGTAGCGTCGTCGTCAGGCAGCGTTGTCGTCTGGTAGCGTCTCCGTCTGGCAGTGTCGTCGCCCGGCAGCGTCGTAGTCTGTTCGCTTCTTTGTTCGGAAACAACAGTGACCTCGTGTTGAATAATATAATTGTTCATCAATCTATTTTCCTCTTGTCTCTCCCTCCCCATACATTCTATGAAATATACATTCCATACAACCATAACTGTAGCATAATGAATAAACTGTTACTGTATGTTGTGTTGCAATATTTATTAACGAATGTGTATGAACACTATCGTCAAAACATTGTGATAATATATATATATATATATATATATATATATATATATATATATATATATATATATATATATATATATATATATATATATATATATATATATATATATATATATATATATATATATATATTATTTATTATTTATTTATTTATTTATCTATGTTACATATTCTTATATGTAGTGGCGAATAAAACTATTATTTGCTTTATATACTGGATGTCAAACTATTTTTCAATATTTGTTGTGAATAATTAAACTATTGGTATTATTTTTAGTGCTGAATCAAACTATTATTATAGTATGTAATTATTTTCAACTGTTATTTGTCATGTGCATTGATCCAAGCTTTTGTTTGTTCGTGTAATGTAACATATTTCTACTTGATTATTGACTGAACTCAGAAATGATTGCAAGTAATAAAATTGTGTATATTATCCACAATGTACGTGAAATATGTAGCGTATCAATAGGTCCTATAATTTCCCCATTACCCCATGCGAGGCAGGGCCTACAGTAGCCCCATTACCTCATGCGAGACAGGGCCTACAGTAGCCCCATTATCTCATGCGAGACAGGGCCTACAGTAGCCCCATTACCCCATGCGAGGCAGGGCCTACAGTAGCCCCACTACTCCATGCGAGGCAGGGCCTACAGTAGCCCCATTACCCCATGCGAGGCAGGGTCTACAGTAGCCCCATTACCCCATGCGAGGCAGGGCCTACAGTAGCCCCATTACCCCATGCGAGGCAGGGTCTACAATAGCCCCATTACCCCATGCGAGGCAGGGCCTACAATAGCCCCATTACCCCATGCGAGGCAGGGCCTACAGTAGCCCCACTACTCCATGCGAGGCAGGGCCTACAGTAGCCCCATTACCCCATGCGAGGCAGGGCCTACAGTAGCCCCATTACCCCATGCGAGGCAGGGCCTACAATAGCCCCATTACCCCATGCGAGGCAGGGCCTACAGTAGCCCCATTACCCCATGCGAGGCAGGGCTTACAGTAGCCCCACTACTCCATGCGAGGCAGGGTCTACAGTAGCCCCATTACCCCATGCGAGGCAGGGCCTACAATAGCCCCATTACCCCATGCGAGGCAGGGCCTACAATAGCCCCATTACCCCATGCGAGGCAGGGCCTACAGTAGCCCCACTACTCCATGCGAGGCAGGGCCTACAGTAACCCCATTACCCCATGCGAGGCAGGGCCTACAGTAACCCCACTACTCCATGCGAGGCAGGGCCTACAGTAACCCCATTACCCCATGCGAGGCAGGGCCTACAGTAGCCCCATTACCCCATGCGAGGCAGGGCCTACAATAGCCCCATTACCCCATGCGAGGCAGGGCCTACAGTAGCCCCATTACCCCATGCGAGGCAGGGCTTACAGTAGCCCCACTACTCCATGCGAGGCAGGGTCTACAGTAGCCCCATTACCCCATGCGAGGCAGGGCTACAATAGCCCCATTACCCCATGCGAGGCAGGGCCTACAATAGCCCCATTACCCCATGCGAGGCAGGGCCTACAGTAGCCCCACTACTCCATGCGAGGCAGGGCCTACAGTAACCCCATTACCCCATGCGAGGCAGGGCCTACAGTAGCCCCATTACCCCATGCGAGGCAGGGCCTACAGTAGCCCCATTACCCCATGCGAGGCAGGGCCTACAGTAACCCCATTTCCCCATGCGAGGCAGGGCCTACAGTAACCCCATACAAGATGCCTGCTCATCACCAAATGTGCATTAATGCTAATTGGCTCGTTTTTCTGAAAATCGATGAATGACTACAGGCTTCAATTATAAACAAAATCAAAATGCTTGCTCTATTTATTTACATACATATTATAAGAAAGTAAAAATGGTTCTTTAACAATTTGTGTGTGCAAATGGTACATTCTTCATCCTATAAATGACAAGAGAGAAAATATATGTGCATCCCTAATAAACATCTTCAATGGATACCTGATCAACCGCGCTGTGATTCATGCATCAGGCTGCGAGCAGCTGTGTCTAACAGCCCGGTTGACCACACCAACAAACAAATAGGAGGTCTGGTCAGAGACCGGGCCGCGGGGAGTTTGATCCTCGGAACCAACAAATGGGAACTGAAAAGTTAGGACATCCCTGGCTGAGTAATTCCTTCTTCTGCTGCAAACTAAGAAAACATTCCGCTGAGAATTGTTGTTACCAAGGAGCGAGTAGTCATTATACCAGGAATAATGCCATTATATTTTGTGCCTTCTGTAATGCTTTTTGCGCTACCGCTCACAGGATGGGTATTGGGTGCACAATAAACTAGCCGCCTCCGGCGACAACAATAAAAAATCAATATGTACGAGGAATGATATCGCGTGTCTTCAGCAATTCCTTATTTCACAGCGCATATGATTTAGATTGTACGGTTGTTAGCCATGGCTTCAAGTCTCATCTTACATATCACGGTTCGGTAACGGATTTTATAACCTACATAACATTACTAAACTAACCTAATCTAATCTGAGCTAACCCTCTGGAATCAAGTATTAGGATGACTAACTCATCCATAATTATTTTTTCCCCTCTTAACTCTAATTGTATTATTATTATTTTTATTTAATGACTTCAATGTGAGCAAAAGAATAGACATACACTAATGCTTGTTTTAACATTTACATTAAATTCACGCCATGCTTCTCAAATATAGGTTATCAGTCATTAGCTGGCGCACGCTAGATAATTTAAATTCCTCCTCAAGAAAGCCAATTAGTAAGGAATAAAACATCTGGGTCACACGTGTGCTCAGTGCAATTACTACTTAACTCAGTAACGAGGCTCTGCAATTTTTGGAGAAGAAACTCAAACAAATATGCTGATAAATACACATTTAGATTTGTGTTCAATGGATTTATGCATTTCTAATACTCCTAAGAAATATATAAATAATCAATATTAAGATTACTTAATGCCACAAGTGAGGTAACTGAATAACGGTACTTGATGACAGACAATGACGCTGACAAGCGACGATCCTGTCATACGATACCAAATAATGCCACTAAAGATGTCCCTGGCAGATAACATCCATGAGACGATATCTCCAGCAGACGATACAATTTCCATACGATGTCATCAAGAGACGACGCATTTGCCGGGGTGATATCACCGACAGACGACGCCGTTACGAGACGATGTTCCACCAAACACCGCCAACTGTAGAAGATTAGCTAGACGACGTTATGGACAGTATAGGGAAGGAGGTCGAAAAGCGACGCCTTACACTGGTAGTAGCGTTCGTCACAATCGCCGTTCAGTTTGCCGTGCAGTTCCGCTTCGATAAAATGGTCGAACTCCTTCCTTTCTTCCTCGGTGTCTCCTCGACCCGCTAGCGAAGCTCTGTGGGTGAGAATGATGTGACATTCATCAACACACACCAAACTCGTGCCTCTTCAAGCAAAAGATGAAATTGAGAAAATCGTGAAGTGTGCCACTAGGCTGCTACCAAAAATAAAAGAAGTGGGATATGAACAGAGGCTATAAGAACCCTGAAAGGCATAAGATGACCCATAGGAAACGTGAGCCCAGCACACTCATCACGGACTGTACAGCTTGGACGGCAACACACTCACCCCGCTGCCACACCCGTCAGAAATACTCACGTTAGGAGGGTGTTGATCAGCTCTCCCAGCAGACCCTGGTCGAAGGGCGCCTCGGCCACCTCGCATATAGTCCTCAGCAAGCAGCTGAGACCATCCAACCCAGTCCTGTACACATAATCACTTGTGATTAAAAAATTAAAACTGAATTTCACTAATACATTTCACCCACGGTGACGTCATGATTCGCTACACTAATTAAGATCCTGGCAACTATTAAAATACACTCAACGGTAACCAATTAATCTAATCCCGAGGATATCAGGTGTTGTTCGCCTTTATTAGATAATATGGTTGTTACTGTATAAAGAAGGGTCAAACCGGATGATTATGTGCAGAGATTGCACTTCCTGGGTCATATTCGTGACAGCTTAGACCCATTAAAACTATACTCCAATAAATATGATTGCATTTCTTGATGAGATTAAGTAACATAGGAAATGGACATGGAACATATTTTAAATATATAATTTCTCGATTCAAAAAATTATGAGAGGTGGAACCACTCAACCGTCATCAGAGCAGATATTTCCTATAGTGTACACAACCATGTCAAGATTAGTGGGAATGTCTTGTGTTTTTTTTGACGGTCCAGACTAGGCTACCCCACTGCCTCACATATTCATTAACATGTAATTACAAATTTTGTAATATGATATTTACTACAAGTAATGTACGTCTGCATGAGTGTATGTACACATGTGTTTGTATTCAAATAATAACTTAAATTACAAATGTTGTTTATTCACCTGTTGAAGGTTGACACCAGACTATTGTAGAAATATAACCGCTCACGGCGGGCGGCCCGTCTCGATGTAACATGCTCTGGCTGGGTGTTGTGCTCTGGCTGGGTGCTGTGCTCTGGCTGGGTGCTGTGCTCTGGCTGGGCGCTGTGCTCTGGCTGGGCGCTTTGCTCTATCCGGCTGCTGTGTTCGGGTTCTTTCCAGTGACCATAGGGCCTAGTAATGCTGTTTGGGCTATCGACAAAGTCAAGGTCCTCGTATCCGACGTCAATAGATCGTTTGAAATAACCTTCCCAGTCACTTACTTCCAGAAGCGGAAACTTGATTGGTATGACAAACTGTATTCTGGCTCTGTAGAGGGTGTAGGTGTTGAAGGGGAAGTTTATCGACCATCTTAGCTGAGGGGAAGAGAAGGGTAACTTAATGCCTATTGACGGCCTGATTTTTAAATGTTTATGAGGAAAAACATTAGGTTTTACATTAATACTAGATGGGATACCATTGGGAAATTATTTAACTGTTTATTCTAAATTATTCAATAATTAGTAAATATAAGTTTATTTCAATAACTAAATGTTAGCATATAAAAGTCCATAGGAACTGGTATGTGACGTCACGTGCTCTATAGGCTTCCAGAACGTTTCAAGGACTTCAATTCATGGGTGACGTGTCAAAATAATTTATGTAGTCTACAATATATATATTGTAGACTAGATATATAGACTATAGTCTATATAGATGTATAGACTATAGTCTATATAGATGTAGACTATAGTCTACAATATATATATTGTAGACTAGATATATATATATCGACCAACCGTGACTGTACAAAAGTTATTGCTATCATTCTCACATTTTTCTCCGTTCCTCCACTGATCTTATATATATTTTAGTTTTTGATATTTTATTACATTACAACTGTGCTTGTTGAGACTGTGTGCGTATGTGCTGGTGAGACCATGTGCGTGTGTATGTGGGCTTGAGCCAGTGTACAAGAAATTCTCGAAGAATACCAGAAATTGGTATTCTGTAAGCACAGAATACCAATGTAAGAACATTATAAGTAATGTATCCTGTATGATCAGGCTTTGTAGTAGATGATGTCCAGCACGCCTGGGGACGAGGATAATGATATGGGGGTCACCAGAGTTTATATGTTGCAAGACAGGACACTGGTGTCGTTTATAGCGGGGCTCCGTATAATGCGCGACAGGTGCGCCGCTCTGGTGGTGAGGGTTCTTATTAATTAAACTTGTTTTGTGAAAAGATATGAGAGGGACAGGGATATGTTATATTCAAATGATTATATTCACCGAGAGGTATGATCTGGATCCTTGCATATTGTAGTAAAAGTGATATATATATTATTGTACCGGATGGATGCTCGCTTGACTGTTTCGTTTGGATGCTCGCTTGACTGTTTTGTTGTCTTCAGATCAGCTGTGTCGTACGTGTTTACAGGTTGGTGGAAAGTTAACTCCTAGTTTAATTTCTATTTGTTCTAGCTTTAGTCATGTGCAGTTTGCTTATTATTATATATAGTTTAAGCACTGTTTATTCATTATAAGTATTGTATATTATATGGCTTGTGTTATTGCAGGATGTAACTGCACTGTAATTATTTAATCAATAAAGCCACATGTCTGGCAATGCTTATCCTTTACCTCACATATATACACCGAGATGTATATACCTGCTTCTATGTGTAAATATACCGAGAGTTTACTATAGTCCTTGAAAATGTTCAGGACTAACGTACACTTGCTGGTTGCTCAATAAACTCATGTGGTGGCCTTCAAAATTTCGGAAATGTTATGTTTGTGTGAACAGGCTTTAACTTAAAGAATTTCTTCTGCCTTTGTATTTTTAATTATGTGTTTAGTTTAAGCAAGTAACATTTGCCACCTACAATGCAGACGTTATTACACTCCATTTTGTACAGGTTTTGGGGTCTGCGACTAACACATAAAGAACGTGTCACAATAACGTGGCGAGAAATGAAATACTCATCCCACACGTCTGAAAATAGGAAAGTGACAACGTTTCGGTGGCCCTGACCCTAAAGTGACAACGCATCGGTGGCCCTGACCCTAAAGTGACAACGCATCAGTGGCCCTGACCCTAAAGCAACCCGTTCTCGCAAATTTAATAAGTCAATATTGACTTATTAAATATGTGCATAGGTGACATGCTTAACATAATAGATACCCTTAAAAAGATTCATAGAAAACACCGACCTTACCTAACCTTGTTAGTATCTTAAGATAAGCATCTTATTGCTTCGTAATTACAATTATTACCTAACCTATAATAGGTATAGGTTAAGTAATAATTGTAATTACGAAGCAATAAGATGCTTATCTTAAGATACTAACAAGGTTAGGTAAGGTCGGTGTTTTCTATGAATCTTTTTAAGGGTATCTATTATGTTAGTATATCACCTATGCACGTAGTTAATAAGTCAATATTGACTTTACGAGAACGGGTTGCCCTAGTGACAACGCATCGGTGGCCCTGATCCTAAAGTGACAACGTTTTGGTGGTTCTGACCCTAAAGTGACAACATTTTGGTGGTTCTGACCCTAAAGTGACAACGTTTTGGTGGTTCTGACCCTAAAGTGACAACGTTTTGGTGGTTCTGACCCTAAAGTGACAACGTTTTGGTGGTTCTGACCCTAAAGTGACAACGTTTTGGTGGTTCTGACCCTAAAGTGTCAACATTTTGGACCACGTTTCGGTGGTCCTGACCCTAAAGTGACCACGTTTGGGTGGTCCTGACCCTAAAGTGACCACGTTTCGGTGGCCCTGACCCTAAAGTGACAACGTTTTGGTGGTCCTGACCCTAAAGTGACCACGTTTCGTTCCGTCCTTGACCCTTATCAAGTCAGGTCTAAAAAAAAGGGACGTCATCACTTATTTTCATGTGTGGGTTGGGAATCTAACGCATGTAATTCGGGTTTTGATCAATTCATTGATTTTAATCTGAATAGTTGCTTGAATGTGCCTGCAATAGCGTTTTCGGTTTGCTATAACATTTTAAATTTAACTGATAAAGATTCCTACAACCTTCCCACTCTTCTAATTGTTATATTAGTCTGAAACAACTTCTATCACGTTGTACATTCCCTGGCGATGTCAGTATGCATCCCAGTTGCCATGAACCCATTAATATTTACTATTTGACAGAACCCCATTGCCTAATTCACTCATTTCCCTTCGCCACCTTTGCCAGCATTGTCTCAAATAGGTTTGTGTCAACTTTAATCCAAGATGATTTTTCCAGCAGTATCGTCGATCACTTCTTCTCTGGAAGACACACCATTACCCTTTCATATATTTTAGTAAAAAAAATCAAATATATATCTAATCTGAGCCCCCCTCCACTATCAGAAAACATCACGGAACAAATTGGCTATAATTAAATTCCTTTATTGGATTTTCCGGTTGGGTATTTATAAATGAAACAGATTTAAAGTGAAAGTATCAACACAGAAATTAAGTTTGTACATGTTGTTATTCATTATCTGTATATATAATCAATATAATACATTATTGTTAAGTGTCAGATAATATATTTGTTATACTTTACAAATAATCTGATTACTAACTAATAAGACAGTTTGCCAACGGATTTAAGAACTTAACACAACTCAACCTTTTCTTATAATACAACCCAACCTAGCCTTACACAACCCAACATAACATAAACACAACCCATCCTAGTGAAATCTAACTCTACCCACCCTAACCTAACACAACCAAACCTAACCTAACTCAACTCATCATAACCTAACACTACTCAACTAACTCAATTTAAGCCCACCAAATTTAACAGCCTAACCTATCTTAAGCACTTAATCTAACACAGCCCAGCCTAACATAACTACACATACTTATTATATTCTGAATTAAAAACGTACATATGTGCGAACGCCTATGAACTATATGACAGTGCTTGTTTCGTAAGGCAAGATTAAGGTGTGGAAAATGTACTTACCTCAAGGTTAGACCCGGGTGAGAGGATCCTGATTTGGCGTCGCTTGCGTGAGGCCGGCTGCGAGGAGCTGGAGGAGGAGAGCTCCTGCAGCCACCCTAAACCAGCGTTCGTGTTGTAGGAAAAGTAATTTTCATTCCTCAGTGCTCCCGTTTCCTGCAGGAGACACATCACGGCTGTCACGAGGATTAGATGCGGTCTCATGGCTGTGTTTCCGATGGTGATGGGAGGTGAGGTTGTTCCTATAAGAGTGTTGGTGGAAGCAGGAGCCCCGACTCGTGTATATCTCAGTATGAAGGACAAAGTCCTGCTGCTGGTGGTGGTGGTGTTCTGACCACCCCCGCTGCCCGACCCTCATGCGCCGCCCCCCATGACAGACTCCGCCTCCCGCTGCCAGACCTCGGCACCTCCCGCCAACGGTAGACGTCTTGTTTTAACTTATTTTTATATCCAACTTGGCTTTCAACTACTTTTTTTATTTAGTTTTAAATTCTAGCATATTGGCGTTTCGTTTTTCACAGAGCATCAAACAAATGCTGGATACAGTGCTTGGCAATGTTGAAGGCTGCCTCATGTCTGAACCCATAATATTAGGGCAGATTACACGGCGACCGGGCGGTCATCTTAAGACCAAATTCTTCGTCCACCGTCGTTGTTGTTTTAGATTCAATTACTCGAAACGAAATGTTGCAAAGCAGCACGAGCTATGGTGAGCCCGTAGAGGACTTACCTGGAAGTCAGGAGGTAAGTTAAGGATTATCATGATCCTCCGAAGCCAACTCCTGTGACCTTCCTTCCCCATGACGGAAGCCATAACTCCTTTCTGACTCCTGAGTAACTATTTACTTCTAGTTGACAAGAGGTATCAGGTGTTAGGTATGTTCCCAAACACCTTTTTCTGCTCAGCAATCGAGACTAGTAACCTAAGAGAATTACGACCATTCACCATGCTTTTATAAGGAGCTTAGACAGACTTATCATAGTTACTTTCAGAAAAATAAATGATAAAACTGCCGGGTCTGAAGGTCCACTTGTTGAATAAGAGGAAACACTAAGAAGAAGGATATATAAATAATATAATGAATCTGTCTCTGTGTGCATTTGTCAACAAGGGTTACAATAACAAGCAGCTTATTTTAAATTATTTATTTCATACAAAACATTTTGCCCACAAACAAGTACGAAATAAATATAACCGGTAATTATCCATAGACGAATTTCCATACTGGCCAAAATCCCAAGTAGTTAATCAATATAACAATTATACAATCAAAATTTGTATTATTTACCCACTTCAAATACCATCGATTTATAATAATAAATAAATACTAAATAAATGTTTATTTAGGTAAGGTACATACATACAAGAGATTTTACAAAGATTGATGGATTTATAGATAGAGCTAGTACATACAATGCCTAAAGCCACTATTACGCAAAGCGTTTCGGGCAGATATAAGATAATTATATAACATAAAAACCTATATTCGTGTACGTGATTTCTAAATATTATTAACGACGTGAATATTGACCCTAACAAGGGGGGGGGGGAACAGCGTCAACTATCAATACAAGAAAAGTCATAATTAAGCTATTGATTGCTCACAGAGAACTCCCTCTCCTAAACCTTATAGCCTGATGCTTCCCTGCACCACCAGCTGGTCCAGCTGCTGGTGCAGTTGTCTTGACAATGAGTTTCATATTATGGGGGGAGGCTGTATTAACAAAGAATTAATAGTAAAGTTATTAGATTGCATTTCTTGTGCATTCCATCTCATGTTGAGCTTCTAATATATGATAGAACTTACGATTTAGTCATATTAGACGATGTCTCCGCGGGAGATGTCCTTATCAGACGATGTCCCCCCCTCCACCCAGCGCCTTTACGCCCAACCACTTGGGTTGGACGGTAGAGCGACGGTCTCCTTTTATGCAGGCCGGCGTTCAATCCCCGACTATCGAAGTGGTCGTGTACCATTCCTCCCCCCCCCCCCCCCGTCCCATCCCAAATCCTTATCCTGACCCCCTTCCCAGTGCTATATAATCGTAATGGCTTGGCGTTTTCCCCCGATGATTTCCTCCCTCCCAGCGCCTTTGCCAGATGATGTCTCTGTAGACGATGTCCTTACCAGTCGAAGTCCTCCTCTACCCAGCGTCTTTACCAGACGATGTACCCCTCTAGACAGTGTGTTTACTGAGAGATATTCCCAGAGATGACGTCCTGACCAGACGATATTCCCAACAGACAACATGGAAGAAGTTGAAGAACACGGGGACTATATGGCGTTCTGGATGGCTAAGGGGAGGAGGTCAAACAGAGACTTCTGGCACTGGTGGAAGCGCTTCTCACAATCGCCGTTCAGTTTGCCGTGCAGCTCTGCCTCAATAAAGTGGTCGTACTCCTCTTTCTCCTCTTTAGTGTCTCCTCGACCTGCCAATGACGCTCTGGGGGCGAGAATAAATCATGAATCAGTCCATATCCATGCTTCAGTTGGAAAATAAATTGCTTTATTTTAAGTCGCTATCAACAAAGTTCATCAACGCACATATTTGGAATCTCTGCCTTGCTAATCACAAAACATTAAAGGTCTAAATATTTGGACTAGGCTGGTGGGGAGAGTCCAAATGATGCCATAATTAAGTTAACTGGGGCATGAGGAGAGATCAAGAGAAATGATCCTGGCATTGATGGAAAGGAGAAACCCCTAGAGGAGACCTGATGACTACTTTCACGATTCTTAGAGACAAGGTGGACAAGAACAGACTGATCAGCATGGGAATCAGAACGGCAAGATGCATGGGGGAAAATCGGAAACACTGTCACAGGTTAGAGGGACTTGGCGGTTGTGGTAGTGGAGAATATATACTTTCACATATTTAAAGTACATATGATAAAATACAAATTGGCCGAAAATCAGTTTCAGGCGACCAATATATTAAGAAAAGACAAAAAATGCGGGACTTTGGAACTGGAGGTTTCGACGAATACAGTCAATTAAGTAAATAAAAATTTATCTACTGCGCAAATAGGAAATGCTTCAGTTCTAATACATTATATATTTCCTCAAGTGCTTCACTCCTTACTGTTACTGACAGTTGAAGTGGTCGTTGGCCCCTTTATCCTCACCCCCCCCCTCCCCTCATAATTACTCACGTCAAGAGGTCGTTGATCATCTCCCCGACGATGCCCTGGTCGAAGGGCGCCTCGGCCACCTCACAAATGGTCCTCAGGAGGCAGCTGCGACCGTCCACCCCGGCTCTGCCCACACACACAATTCGCATGAGTTTTATATCAATGTAAACCAATATATGAAGCGATGGCTACAGATAAGTAATGAGTACTGTTAACTGTTAACTAACAACTAACTGTTAACTGCTGATAACTGTTACTAACTAATGTTGTTGTTTTTCACACATACACACACACACTCCCCAGGAAGCAGCCCGTAACAGCTGTCTAACTCCCAGGTACCTATTTACTGCTAGATAACAGGGGCATCAGGGTGAAAGAAACTTTGCCCATTTATTTCTACCATGACCAGGGGTCGATCCCGGGTCCCTAGATCTACGCATCCAGAGTGCTGTCCACTCAGCCACTAGGCGCCCTGTACTCACCTACAGCTGCTACGGGCTGCTTCCTGGGGATGTGTGTGTGTGTGTGTGTTTACTATTTGTTTCTGCAAAATCGAACTATTAGCTCTTGGTCCCCGCCTTTCTAACCAATTTATTTTTCTTCTATTATGTCTATTACATATATTTCACTTACACACGCACACACATCCCCAGGAAGCAGCCCGTAGCAGCTGTCTAACTCCCAGATACCTATTTACTGCTAGGTGAACAGGCCACCAGAGTGAAAAAAAACTGTCCATTTGTTATTGCCTCTGCCGGGGATCGAACCCGGGCCCTTTAGGAGCTGTGTGTCTGTTGGTCCTTCTTAATCTCTCTTTGCTCCTCCTTTATCTTGGGGGCTTCCTATTTCAAGGTTAGGTCTGGGATGATTGGTGTAGGTACCTAACCTCCTAGTGGTTTTAGGTGTGTACTCACCTAATTGTGCTTGCGGGGGTTGAGGTTTGTCTCTTTGGTCCCGCCTCTCAACTGTGTGTGTGTGTGTGTGTGTGTGTGTGTGTGTGTGTGTGTGTGTGTGTGTGTGTGTGTGTGTGTGTGTGTGTGTGTGTGTTTACTAGTTGTGTTTACTAGTTGTGTTTTTGCGGGGGTTGAGCTTTGCTCTTTCGGCCCGCCTCTCAACTGTCAATCAACTGTTTACTAACTACTTTTGTTTAACTACTAACTTGTTTACTAACTACTACTACGTGTGTGTGTGTGTGTGTGTGTGTGTTGTTACAAACGTTGTGACGTTTTGAATAATTTAACAAGTAATGTACAACTGCATGAGTGCATATATATATATATATATATATATATATATATATATATATATATATATATATATATATATATATATATATATATATATATATATATATATATATATATATATATACAATTCTACTAAAATAATAACCTTTCAATAACCAATTTTGTTTAACATGGCACTCACTTGTTGAAGATTGACATGAGGCTATTGTAAAGATACAACCGTTCCCGGCGGGCGGCGCGTCTTGATATTTTGTGCCACTCTTCTGGTTGGTGGCTGTACTGGGGCTGGTGGCTGTACTGGGGCTGGTGGCTGTACTGGGGCTGGTGGCTGTAGGGGGACTGGTTGTTGTGCACTGGTTGATACCAGTAAGCGAAGGGTCCCGCGGCGCTGCTGTCGGCAAACTCCAGGTCTTGGTAATCAACGTCTGGGGTCCGCCTATTGGGGTCTGCGATTGCGATGTCTTGTGGAATCCCAAACTTGATGGGAATTGCAAATTGCACCCTGGCTTTGTATAAGGTGAAGGTCTCGAAGGGAAAATTAACCGACCATTTAATCTGAGGGAGAGGAACACTTTAATGCCTAACCGTAATTCTGACCTCATATATAAAGTGTGATGAAGCATTTCCTAATATTTGATCCCTGATCACTTGAGCTCTGCAACCGGCCACTAGCTTACTATGTGAATACAAACAACAGCAACATTATGATAATAATAATCATTTTAAATAAATCCTTATTTGCAACAGAATTAAGTGGATTGTGATAATCAATTTATATTGCAATATTAAAGCTAAGTACATTTTTTGAACCCTACAAATACGCACAGCATTTTGGACATGTTTTAAACCCGACTAAATGGTTTAAGACTCTTTAAATGGTTGCAGGTGTTATGTTAATGATATATTATATATAAACACAAAATCCGGATTTCGTTATTGGAATACTAGTGCATTAATAACTACTATAATCAAACTAACCTAACCTATGTCAAATCTTAGACCTAAAAAAGTACATATATATATATATGTTATAGACTAGGCCCAAAGAAGGGTAGGTTAGGTTGCTGTCTTCTTTATCGACCCCTAAGCACAAGTAGCCTCATGAAGAAGTGAGCGTATTGTACATATACTCTTCACTCGCTATACGTGCTCTGCCGCCTGGAGGATACTATATTAATAACAGTAATAAGGAAAGGTGGCTATACTGAAAGACAATACCAGTAATGGAGTTGGAAGTTGGGATAATAATATGTGAATTTGTAGGTTCATGACGACGAACCTACAAATTAGATTTGAACCTAAAAAGTAGATTAAAATTGCAAGTATTGCAGAACGTTTAGAGCAAGAGCAGGGGGAAGTACCGTGAAGCTGTTGGCTATATCCGTGTCAGAGTCAAGCTTCTAAGCTTATTATTGAATATGCACACTGCACAGTAGCATGATGTATCTGTGAGAAAATATTAAGAAATTCTCTGGGATTGAACTCGCCCAAGGTTCGAACTCAGGTCCTCTTGTGCATTAGCCTAGCTGATTAGTTTGATTAGGTTTATGTTAAATTTTGCGTCAATATTAGACATATTATAAATACTTATAAAATGTATTGGTTTTCTTACTAGAACGCTCCTAGTAAGGCGTCCAGTTATGCCGATCGCATGGTTAACCTCTCCGTAAATAATCCAACCTTTTAACGTAACCAAAAACGTACGAACCCAAGCAACCCACCTACCCTATTGAGTCCGATGCATAAAAAACACATTCGTAACTCGTTACTTTTCCTAGTGTGTTGCATTTCTAACATTGGTTACGTAAACGTAAAAAACACGATCCTGTTAGCTGAGAGGACGGGTTGACAGCGGACCTGAGCTCTCAACAGGTCATCTCTCACAATCCGTCCTCGACTCAAGTCCATTACATCCAGCGGTCAACCCCACAGATCCATTCATAAATTTTTACATGTTGTTCATTCAAAATGAGAATTTTCTCAAATATAAATTAATATTATAATAGGATATTGTGCATATTTAGGTTAGGTTAGGTGTTTAGGTTCTGTTGGTGATTATTTGTATTTGTAGAACGTGGGTGAAGCATTTATAGCGTTGTGCTTCGAACAAAATTTGTCAGTGAAGCACTTGTTCCGGAAGTGTTCGAACGAAATCAGTTGTGAGTCGTGTGTAAACCGTTTTTCATTCATAAATAGCTGGGGTTTGGCGGGTGCATGGAATCACTCTTGGGTCTTTGTTTGGAGGACGGACTGCCTCTTAAGAGATGGAACCTAAGTTCAATTCCCGGACAGAGCGGGACGATTGAGCGCGTTTCCATTGCTCCATTCAGTAAATTGGAACTTTGGAATTAGTAAACTGTTGTGAGGTGCATCTTGGGAAGGGTTAGTCGTTGGCTTTAATAGGCTTCTTATCCACGATGGTGTTATATATATATATATATATATATATATATATATATATATATATATATATATATATATATATATATATATATATATATATATATATATATATATATATATATATATATATATATATATATATATATATATATATATATGAACGCCCCAATTAACGCTATCAACGTTGATTAAACGGTGAAGTAACGCTACTCAGGAATACTATGCCCAGTGTGGGTGGGTACTAAGTACTACTCTGGGCTATTGTGCCCACTGTGGGCACGCGGGGTGGTCAACAGAGGACGCAGTGGTCATCATTTCCTACATTCAACGCACCTTGTCCCTCTCATCCGCCATTCCCCCCAACACCTCGACACAGACTGGACTCTCCCCTCCCCCCCCCCCCTCACGTAACCCCCCGCTGCTCACGTGAATCTCGTCGCTGCATGCACGCCAGCATGAATCTCGATACCTGTTCACTGGCCTCCAGTTCAACGGGTTGTCCATGTATTCTTCTCATGGGTTCATACTCTGATTCATGTTCATCGTTCATGTTCATGTTCACGTTCGGGTTCATGGGATGTTCATGGGCACGGGTTCATGTTCATGGACACGGGTTCATGTTCATGGGCACGGGTTCATGTTCATGGACAAGGGTTCGCGTTCATGTCAACCCGTCCTTCAGCTCGTTCTTATAAACAATAGACAAATACCCGTTAACCCAGTCGCAAAACCTCTTGTTTATGAGTGTAAAACGATTTACACACAACTCGCAACTGATGATGTTCGAACACTTCTCGAACAGTGCTTCACTGGCGACCAAAGTTCGAACCACAACGCTGTAAATGCTTCACCCACGTACTACAAACACAAATAATCGCCAACAGAACCTAAACACCTAACCTTACCTATGCCGTACTATACCTATAAGTTAAGTATATATAAAAATATTGACATATATGAGAACAAACCAACTTTTAACACACAGTATGTTACAATTCATCTAGGGGGAGGGGGATGTCCGCCGCTTTACCGAGCCTGGCCTGACGACGGGTTGGAAGGAGGCAGTTCGTCCTCATAAACAAACGCCCACACGATTCATAATATATGGATCTGGGTTCGAGAGAGAAACAATGAGGACAGGTTTTCTCCTACCTTGTGCCTCTGTTCATCATCCAGTACATAGGTACTTGACAGTTAGCGTTTATTGGTTTCTTCCTAGGATATGTTAGTGTGTGTGTGTGTGTATTTACTAGTTATGCCTGCAGGATCGAGCTGTTAGCTCTTGAACCCCGCCTTTCTAACCGTCAGTTGTCCAGCCCGTCCTCCAAAGACCCAAAAGTGATTCCATGCACCCGCCAAACCAGCTGTTTATGAATGAAAAGCGGTTTACACACAACTCACAACTGATTTCGTTCGAACACTTCACTGACGAATTTTGTTCGAACCACAACGCTGTAAATGCTTCACCCACGTACTACAAACACAAAATCTCCAACAGAACCTAAACACCTAACCTAACCTATGCCTATATATACAATCTGCTAATATATTATAATATTAATATATATTTGAGAAAATTCCTGTTTTGAATGAACAGCAAGTTAAAATTGATGAATGCGTCTGTGGGGTCGACCGCTGGATGTAATGGACTTGAGTCGAGGACGGGTTGAACCGTCAGTTGGCATATGTACTAACTCCTCACCTATTTTTCCTCGTGTCATATCAAGTATATATTTATCAGACACATCCCCAGGATGCAGCCCGTAGGAGCTAACCCCCAGTTACCTATGTGAATATGCTAGGTGAATAGAGGCACCAGATGAAAAGATACCGGCCATTTGTTTCTGCCTCGGCCGGGAATCGAACCCATGCCCTTAACACTACGACATTCGAGCGCTGCTGTCCACTAGGCCCCATGAATGTATGGAGGGGGAGGATGTATGGAAATGCAGACTATAGTAAAAACTACAAGAGAATATATGTAGGAAATCAGTACACTAGAAAACCGATGGTCCGAAAGACGGGGTCCAAGAGCGAACAACTCGATTCTTCAGGCTCAAATAAGAGAATACAGAAGCGAGCGCGCGCGCGCGGAACTTAATATTCTGGCTGAGGCTATTAAATAACTCCATGAAGGGGAACACGTGACGTCATATTTGAACTAGAGAAAGCTCATGAACTATAACCAAGACCTACTTCCCTAGCGGCATGATACGTCCCTGGCGGCATGATACTACCCTGGCGGCATGATACTACCCTGGCGGCATGATACTTCACTAGGGGCATGATACTACCCTGACGACATGATACTACCCTGGCGGCATGATACTACCCTGGCGGCATGATACTTCCCTAGCGGCATGATACTACCCTGGCGGCATGATACTTCCCTAGCGGCATGATACGTCCCTGGCGGCATGATACTACCCTGGCGGCATGATACTACCCTGGCGGCATGATACTTCCCTAGCGGCATGATACGTCCCTGGCAGCATGATACTACCCTGGCGGCATGATACTTCCCTGGCAGCATGATACTTCCCTGGCGGCATGATACTTCACTAGGGGCATGATACTACCCTGACGACATGATACTTCCCTGTCGGCATGATACTACCCTGGCGGCATGATACTTCACTGGCGGCATTATACTTACCTGGTAGTATGATACTTCCCTGCCGGTATGATACTTCCCTGCCTTCTTGATACTTCCCCTGGTAGCATGATACTCCTCTGCCGGCATGATACTTCCCTGGTAGCATGATACTTCCCTGATAGCATGATACTTCCCTGGTAGCATGATACTTCCCTGGTAGCATGATACTTCCCTGGTAGCATGATACTTCCCTGGTAGCATGATACTTCCCTGGTAGACTGATACTTCCCTGGTAGCATGATACTTCCCTGGGGGCATGATACTTCCCTTGCAGCATTATACTTCCCAGGTAGCATGATACTTCCCTGGTAGCATGATACTTCCCTGCCGGCAGGATACCTACCTGCCAACAGGATTCTTTTCTGCAGACAGGACACTCCCATGCCGGTAGGATACTTTCACGTCGACAGGATACTTCCCAGCTGGCAGGATAGTAAATGTTCTGCCCTTCCTTTCGAGTTGCCACAACGGACAGAAAATGGAGTACTAAAAAAAACGAACCTATCCTAACCCGACCGAACTACCCACTCCTAGAAATAAATATAAAGTGAATATTTGTGAGCATCTGCGTTCTTTTACTACATCATATTTTGTCCGTTAGGAAGCTTGACGTCAAAATGCGACGTATTTGTTTTTCGAGAGGACCAATTATCTACCAATCAGTTACAAGGAACAGTATGACTGGATAAGATCTAAGTATGAATTGCAAGCTCAAAAAACTGTGAGCACATTGGAAGCATTTAGCCAGCTCTTCTCTCAGCTGATAAGGACACAAGATTCTGGCGAACTCTCGCTGTTCAAAATCTGATTATCGTCAATATTTCCCTTTGAACGCGATTAGTCAATGGTACTAATTGAAGCATAAGCTTAATAAAGTTATAAAACTCATATTTACAAAGGAGCATACAACAGGTTCTTAGTCCACATGATAAAGTGTTATTTAGGCTACGGAAGCGATAGCGGAATATTTAGGTGGACGGTCGCTGGCAGGGGGGGGGGTAAAGAGGGGGGAGTAGGTCATTATACCGTTATTGTCCGTGATTGACATTACTATTTACAGTATTTCTGTCATTGTTATTGTAATTATTACATTTATGTCCGCTTTCACATGGTTGTTACAATGCAGAACTGAACTGGCCTGTAGTTATGTACAGCGTCGCTTGTATTCACCTATTCCCAGAAGTTACCTGAGAGCCACTAACACTCTAGTGGCCTCGATGTGGACAAGAAGCCGGTGGCTTGTCAAAAGTCCCCCCCCCCCCATTTGTCCTGATTTTTTTCCCAGCTGGATTTTAAAATTTAACCGTTTTGGCATTTACGGCTTCGGCGGGAAAGCGGTTCCATAGGTTTATTACCCTGTGGGTGAAAAAGCAAAATCTCCTGTTTTCAGTCCTACACTGCTGCTTGTTGAACTTGAAACTGTTGCTTCTTGTTTGTGTTACATCTGACCTTTTGAAGAAACTGTCTGGATCAACATCCTCGAAACTGTTCAGTATTTTAAACGTTTTGATGAGTTCTGCCCTGTCATATATTTCTCTGTGATGATGAGTGTCATTATTATAACTCCTGTAGCCGTTTTGATGAGTTCTACCCTGTCATATTTCTCTGTGATATTGTCATATATTTCTCTTATAATATTGTCATTATTATAACTCCTGTAACCGTTTTGATGAGTTCTACCCTGTCATATTTCTCTGTGATATTGTCATATATTTCTCTTATAATATTGTCATTATTATAACTCCTGCAACCGGATTATTATTATTATTATTGAGGAAATCAGTAGAAGTCATGAAGATTCGAACTTGCACACTGGGCAAACTCAGCATATGCCCTAAACAACTCGGCCACAAAGCTCAAAAGCCATAGAACCTGGGATTCAACTAAATCCTATGGCTGTGGTATAGGAGTTCTACCTACAACGTTTCTCTTCAAATGCACAAAGAAATCACATTAACATGATATGAGAAAATCCACTAGGACTATGGGTGGGTGCGAACCTACGACCCCGGCATTTAATATTAATCATAATTAATGTTATTATTATGAGCTACCATGTTTTATATCATAAACCCTCTCCGACGCGCTAATGTATGTAAACAGATCCATCAATGTTGTAGCTATAATGTTGATCAGTTCATGAGACCATTATGTGCCTCTGTAACCTTTCCTCCATGATCAATTATTGGGTCCATAATAAATGAACTAAATGATTGTGACCGTTACCCGTAATTTTTGGTAATTTTACTAATAAACCTGGTTTTAAATGTGGAAAAATTACGCAAGGGTGATATCAATTCTACTGACTTGAGGAGTTTATCTGAAGGATCATAATGCGCACCCAGAGTCCTGAAGCCCCAAGATATTACAGCAAACCTCTACTGCTGGTGGTGTGGCAAAGGATGCTTCTTGAGATTACATGATTACTTAACAATATAATTGCTTGTTTTGTATCACAAAAATACATGTTAAACGAGGATAACATTTGGGACGCATCGACAAATTATGTCCGTTTTTTGGTTTATTTTGACCTTAATATTCTATAAATATGATGGAACATTGTGAAATGAGAGAAAACATTCATAATATTTGACAAAATGTGGTCATTAAATTATCATATTAATTATGATTATTATTTTCTGTTACCTTTAAGCTTTCAAGGGTGCCCACCGATTTCCAGACCTAATACAATACTGCAGAAGTATTTACCTCAAAGTTAGATCCAAATGGGAGAGCGAGTCCTCGTCGCCTGCGAGAGAGAGGCTGCAGGCTGCCGGAGGAGAGCTCCTGCAGCCACCCCAGACTAGCGTTCGTACTGTAGGAAAACTCGGTGTCTTGCGCCAGTACTTCCGATGTCTGCACAAGACACAGCATGGCCGCCACGAGGAAGAAGTGCACTTTCATCGCTGTGGTGATCCAAGATGAGGTTGTACCAGGAAAGGTTGGTGGTGGTGGTGGTGGCAGCGTGGGCGGAGAGTGGCAACAAGACCAAAGGGTGAGGAAAAGAGGAGCTCTGGACTCGTGTATACCGCGGTATGGACAACGGTCTGCTGCAGGTAGCCTACTGCCGTGCCTACCCAGCCGCCCGACTATTAATTCCAGCATCCCACCTCCTCTCACCCCCCCCCCCCCAACCCACACCAGACTCCGCCCTCCAATGCCACACTTTAGGGCTTCATTTCTCTATTAAATCCCACCTTAACCTTTAATTTTGTGTGTCCTTAGTTTCTTTTTCATTGATTTTTTGCAAACTTATTCTCTGAATATCTAACATGAAACAAATGTGAAGCGTAATCCTTAGCGACGTCGAAGAGTGTTCATTTTCTGAGCACGTAAAACAATTCAATGAATTCAAAATCTTCAATCATGACTGAACAGAAGTTTTACTTTTATTGTTTTCAACATAAGATAACAGTAATTTGATTACCATGTGAAAAAGAAAATCAGTAGGAGCCGTGAGCCGCCTCACTGCAAAGGATTTTCTCATTAATGCAATCACGTTACTGTGATTACTCTGTGTGCCTCATGTGAATTTCTTATGACATAAATATCAGAACTGTTGAGTCTACATTAACAAAAAAACACATTAAACTAAAGTTATTTACCTTACATGCCTCTCGTTATATTAAACCTGGAACACAAAGTTTGCCAGGCTGGAGGTGCGCCCCTCGCGTACCCGGACAACTGTGCACTGTCCACTCAAGCGTTCACAATGTCACTACAATGTACTAAATTAACCGAACCTAACCTAACCGTGAAAAGAAAAATAGAAAACGGGACATCACGTCAGTTTTGCGTGCCGCTGTGATTTTTAGTTTTTGGCCCTAGGGGAGTTATGTCAAAATATTTTGTATTTTTTCAAGAAGCAGGTTGTAGTGAGCAGGGCTGGGAGAGTGGTGTACCTGGAGCTTCCTTACCACGGCAACTGTGAGCAGGCCTGGGAGAGTAGTGTACCTGAAGCTTCCTTACTACGGCAACTGTGAGCAGGCCTGGGAGAGTAGTGTACCTGAAGCTTCCTTACCACGGCAACTGTGAGCAGGCCGGGGAGAGTAGTGTACCTGAAGCTTCCTTACTACGGCAACTGTATTCACCTAGTTGTGCTTGCGGGGGTTGAGCTCTGCTCTTTCGGCCTCTCAACTGTCAATCAACTGTTTCTAATGCTTTTTTTCCTACACCCCAGGAAGCAGCCCATGACAGCTGACTAACTCCCAGCTACTTATTTACTGCTAGGTAATATGGGCATAGGGTGAAAGAGACTCTGCCCATCGTTTCTTGCCGGCGCCAGGGATCGAACCCGGGACCACAGGATCACGTGTCCAGCGTGCTGTCCGCTCGGCCACCGGCTCCCTACAGTGCCTGGGTAGGCCTGGGAATTTTGTGGTACAATTATACCAGAGGTGCAACTGCATTCGACACTTTCACAAAACTGACGCAAGGTGTATTTGACACTCACAAAGTTGACACATGAGATATTAGGCAGTTGAGTTTTGTGAAAGCTGCCAACTACGTCTGACGACTGTATACCAGAATTATTCTGGCTGAATGGTGAAAGGCAGAACTAAGGGTCATTTTGACTTGATCCTGTTGACCTGGCAAACCCACACAGGGAGGTTACCATTATCGGAAGACCCAGACAGAATACTCTACCTATACACAACAAAGGTGTTGGACACTAATTTATCGGTCTTCCTTGGGGGGACTCTGAGAATGTAAGGACTAGTAGTCCCCGTGGCGAAGTGGTAACACACTAGCCTGGCGTTTAGCGTGCGCTTTGGCCTGGGTTCGTATCCTGGCCGGGGAGGATTGACTAGGCGCCAACCCTTAACTGTAGCCTCTGTTCAGCCATCAATGAATGGGTATCTGGTTGTTAAACGATTTGGCGGGTCGTATTCCGGGGAACATTAGGATTAAGGACTTGCCTAAAACGCTATGCGTGCTAGTGGCTGTACAAGAATGTAAGAACTATTGTATATATAAATAAATTAATAGTAGCTTCTTTGTTGGTATTGCCTACCAAACGTTGATATATGTCGTGATGAATCTCATTATATACACCGCGAGGCGTCTCAGTCTTTATATTTACATTAAGTTTATTTAATTTTTGAGGTAGTTAATTGTCAAAAATTATACTTGAATTTAGTTTTTTATTATCAGGGGAAAGCGCCAAGCCATTACGACTTTTTAGAACTTGAAAAGGGTCAGGATAAGGATTTGGGATGAGACGGGGGGTAAGGAATGGTGTCTAACCACTTGGACGGTCGGGGATTGAACGCCGACCTAGTTAAAAAAAAAGGGAGACTGACTTAACGTCGATAAGCCTTGACCTAAACACGTGACCAAATATTATGTGTTTTGACAAAATTTTCTAACGTCGCCAAAGGCTGGATAAAACATAAGTTTGTTGTTCTGTGATTTGATTTTCAGAGAAACTATAAAATGCATGTTTACAAAAGTGAAATAACAGACGAACTAAGTTGAGAGATAAATAACAGCCGAGGTGTGGCAGCGGGAGGCGGAGTCTGGCTGTCATGGGGGGCGGCGCATGAGGGTCGGGCAGCGGGGGCGGTCAGAACACCGCCAGAACACCGCCACCAGCACACCTTTGTCCTTCATACTGAGGTGTACACGAGTCAGAGCTCCTGCTGCCCTCCGTTTGTTCTTGTTGCGACGACTCTCCACCCACGCTGCCACCACTAACACCACCCTTCAAGGGAACAGCTTCCTTCGCCACCGTAAACACAGTCATGAGACCCCATCTATTCCTCGCGGCAGCCATGATGTGTCTCCTGCAGACGCCGGAAGCACTAATACACGAAAATCAGTATCTCTTCAGTACGAACTCAAGTCAGAATTGGCTGCACGAAGTTTCGTCCGGCAGATTTCAGCCGCTCTCCCGCATGAAACGAGTCATCGGCGTCCCCGCGGGGTCTTTTTTTGAGGTAAACACTCAGTGTACTCTTGGCTGCCGAGCTGGCCGCACGCCGTCATGTGCCTCGGCCACAAACAGAAAACATAGGTTCGTATTTGGAGATTAAATATTCATTAAGTTTGCACGTTTTGCGATTGATTTTGTCTATATCATTTACTAGGTTCAAAAGAACGAAAGCGCCGAAGAACGCAGGTTAAAATATTTTACTTATGAGGAAAGACTTTGAATTCAATCTTAGCATGCAGAGAGGAAATAGTATATTAATTACTAATGAACCTTTCTTCCATGTTTTCCTCAGCATACTTTTAAATTGATTAAGTAATATATGGAGTTCAAATCAACATTATGACGTGCATATTTATCTGTTGATTGAAATTATATAAATGCAATTTAATCTCTAAAAACGAAACTGTAAAATACAATTTAATACAAAATATTATTCCAAGAGGTATCGTCTACAGAGCAGCCAGAAGGCTGGGTCACCTCGGGTCACTGGATGAGGGTGGAACTTCACCACTATACCCCCTCTGCCTTATAAATATTGGAAGATGGTGAAGCCTACCTTTACGGGCTATTCATACCCGTGCCATCTCTTGGGTGCCTTAATCTTCATTAATCAATCGTGAAGCCTACTACGGGCTACTCTAGCCTATAAGCACAAGCCTATACGTTTACACAAGCCTATAAGCAGGATCCGATAGAGTATTTAAAATTCTGTTGAAACTTAATAGTCACATTGTACATTGTACAATTATTCTCCCGATGACCCCTCAAAGAGGTCTCATGACCTTCCAATAGTTACGATGCTTTTGTTGGCAGAGTAGGTACAGTACTGAGCTTCCACCTTGGTGGCTCACGTTCGAACCCTTGAGGTGGATATTCTCTCTCTCTCTTTCTCTCGTAATAATAATTATAATACTTATTACAACAATAATAATGTATTGTAATAAAGGTCATATTCTGTGTCCAAAATATTAACCTTAACTCATTTTAATGGGAATTAAAAAGCGTCAGTTTATAAATTTGTGAAAGGAATAAAATATTCAAAGACATCCTTCTGTTGGTAAATGATAAGTTCCCGGTTCCATCGGGCAATAGCAACAGGTAAACAAATATTGCGTGAAGGCGATAAGAGCCCCACGCGTAGTGACATTCATACAATATAGCTAATACCTAACTAACTTGCCTAACCGAACAAGCCCACCAAACCTAACGGATCTACTTAGCCAAACGAACTCACCAAACCTATTACGGGCTCACTATAGCCCGTGCTACATGGAAATTTTGTTCTGAGTAGCTGAATCTAAAACAACAACAATCAAACCTACCTTATCAACCGACATTTAACCTAACAAACTCACCCAATTAAACTTATCCACCTAACCTAATTAGCCTAACGAACGTACTAATTTAACGAACCCATCTAGCCTAACGCACAAGCAGTAATTAGGACTCCAGATGCCAAACGACTGGTGGATCGTATGCCAGGTAAAACATGGCGCTGGATACCCCCAACCGGTTAGGACTAACCGTTCAGGTTTCGTACCTTGGCCAGAAGACTAAATTCCTCTCATAATAAATGTAAGTAGCAGTAATAACAACGGGATTAAGGTCACAACCGCCTTAATTACAGGACACTTGCCTGGCTCAGAGTCCGCCATTGCATTAATAATAATATATTATACCTGGACCAAAAACCTGTTATTCTCTTGTAATAATGTTGATGGTGGCGCTTAGGTAATCTTCCTGAGAACGACGCCCTGTGGTGGCGGGGCAAATGGATGCTACATTATGATTGACAATAATATATATATATATATATATATATATATATATATATATATATATATATATATATATATATATATATATATATATATATATATATATATATATATATATATATATATGTCGTACCTAGTAGCCAGAATGCACTTCTCAGCCTACTATGCAAGGCCCGATTTGCCTAATAAGCCAAGTTTTCCTGAATTAATATATTTTCTCTATTTTTTTTCTTATAAAATGATAAAGCTACCCATTTCATTACGTATGAGGTCATTTTTTTTTATTGGAGTTAAATTTAACGTAGATATATGACCGAACCTAACCAACCCTACCTAACCTAACCTAACCTATCTTTATAGGTTAGGTTAGGTTAGGTAGCCGAAAAAGTTAGGTTAGGTAGGTTAGGTAGTCGAAAAATAATTAATTCATGAAAACTTGGCTTATTAGGCAAATTGGGCCTTGCATAGTAGGCTGACAAGTGCGTTCTGGCTACTAGGTACGACATATATATATATATATATATATATATATATATATATATATATATATATATATATATATATATATATAGGGGTACCACCTCTGGTGCAAGTGTAGGGACCCATAGCCTTGGAGAAGAAAATAAAGAGTACTCAGAGAAGACCTTGTGGATCCTCACTGAACACCTTGATATTTTCTTCTCCTACCACCCCTATTCTTTTGGTATGTGTATATATATATATATATATATATATATATATATATATATATATATATATATATATATATATATATATATATATATATAACTGAAAAACTCACACCCCAGAAGTGACTCGAACCCATACTGCCAGGAGCAACGCAACTGGTATGTACAGGGACGCCTTAATCCGCTTGACCATCACGACCGGACATAAGGAAGTGATAGCCTTCAAGTGATAGGTGTGAGTTTTCAGTTGTATATAGTCCTGGGGACCATTCAGGCTTGTTTGCATATATATATATATATATATATATATATATATATATATATATATATATATATATATATATATCTGTGGTCAGATATATATGTGTGTGTGTGTGTGTGTGTGGATCGTGTGTATCGAAGTGTTGAACCATCAGCAGTGCAGGAGAGCAACAAGGACGTCTCTGATCTGGCCGTGGTCAAGAAGGTAAGGAAGAGTACCAGAGAACATGTTTACCATCTACACGCAGGTGAGGGGGACTGAACATGCAGAAGCACACTATAATCACACTACACATTCCTACTGTACTGTATCTCAATCTTTCAGATAAAATGGTCGCTCAACTTTCCATACGATACTTACACCTTTTCGAAGATCAAGTTACAATTTGGCCTGCCGATCAGGGTAGGCTTTCCTTACGGCATCGTGGTCGGGGGTGCGGGGAAGCGATCAGTTGACGCCGGCTACGGGGAGGAGGAGGACGTCGACGGGGCGGACCACAGCACCGACTCCTTCGCCCACTGGTACCAGCCTAAACACAGCAACCAGCTGGAGTTACACGAGATGGCCAGACGAGCAGCCCGCCAGGAACGGTTGTCCTTCTATAATAACCTGATCGGAACCTTCAATGAGTGAGTGGTACTTTGCTTTGAGTGATAGTCCAAAAGCTATTGTAACTCTCTTCAGCCCGTCTTCCTAAGGTTCCCCAACGTCAAGAAATCTACTTACTCTCCTTGATACCTAGAATTGAAAGAATTTAAAAATAGTAATTCAGACCATTTTCATAAAAGCCCCAATGTAACATACGAGGGGCAGCGGCTTCAAGCTTAACAAGTCACAATATACAACATAACAGCTTTTTTCACCCATAGGATAATGCACCCACGGAACCGCCTACCCGCCGAATCCGTAAACGCCCAAGACATTTTTCAAGTTAAAAATTCAGCTAGAACAAATTGTTATGCATAATTGAAGGAACTTTTGATAAGTCGCCGGTATGTCAAAGCCGGTGACCACTAGAGGTGGTAACCATCAGGTAAATTCAGGTTTTCAATGTAAATACACCTCTTCAATCTGGATTACTAAATCGCAACGGCATTCAAGATCTACTGTTGCCCGAATTCTTACACGAATCATTAGCCTTACTGCTCAAGTCATACCAATCAAACCACATCTTCCTTATTTCCTCCTCCTCCCTCAGAAAATGTGTTATTTAGAAGCACTGACACAACTGTAAGGGTCTCAGAAAATATATTACACATTTCTAAAACTCTACGGAAATCACATCATATATTTCACACTTTATTCCACAAAAACTGTATGGGGGTGTCTATAAATGCTAATATTTCGTAAAACATTTAACTTATACCAGTGTCGACTTGTCTATGTCCGTCCCGTACCCCAGACAATTCACCCTTCAAATTTGGGTGAGGCTAACCCCAAGCGTCTGGCCTCCAACTTTCATCAAACACAAAGATTCTCTCTTATAGGAAAAGATATTCATGACCTTTTGTGCCTTTTGTTTATGTTTTGTTGCGTGTGGACAGGACCGGGGTGGACGGCCTCAGCTGCCTCCTTAGGGTCATCTGCGAGGTGGCCGAGGCGCCCTTCGACCAGGGTCTGCTGGGAGAGCTGATCAACACCCTCCTCACGTGAGTATTGTTGACGGCTGAGGCTGAAGTATATGGCTGAAGCTGACGGCTGAGGCTGAGAGGTGATGCTGATTGTGAGGCTGAACGGTGAAAATGAGAGATGAGGCTGAGAAGTGTTAGTGTTTGAGGGGACTTAAACTCCAGCTCCTGGGTTCTGCCTGTTTAGCTTTTGGTGGCAACAATAGACTCTTCATCACATGGCCTCAATGGTTAACAGATCACGTTTTTGTGATTCGATTGTGTTCTTCTCCTTGCTTGTGACATTTCTCAACACCACCATTATGCTCGCCCACAGAGCGTCGCTGGCCGGTCACCCAGACACCGAGGAGGAGAGGAAGGATTATGGCCACTTCATCGAGGCGGAGCTGCACGGCAAACTGGAGGGCGACTGCGAGACGCGCTACTACCAGTGTGAGGCGTCGCCTTTTGACCTCATTCCCAACGCCATCCACAGGGTCTTTTAGTGCTGGTAATCTTCTGGAGGCAAGTGTGGTTTGTCGGGAACAACGCGGCTACGACGCCTCGTCTGTTAGTGGTACCGTGTTGATATTGTCAGCGTCTTGCAGCCATGTATTGATATTCCATGACAGAGTGTATTGTATTAATTTATTAGCAATGATTACGGATGGGTTGCTTCCCTCTTGCCCTTCCCCACGCCTTCCCTGCCTCGCCTACCCTCACACCCCGCCCGTCCCTGCCTCGCCTACCCTCACACCCCGCCCGTCCCTGCCTCGCCTACCCTCACACCCCGCCCGTCCCTGCCTCGCCTACCCTCACACCCCGCCCGTCCCTGCCTCGCCTACCCTCACACCCCGCCCGTCCCTGCCTCGCCTACCCTTACACCCCGCCCGTCCCTGCCTCGCCTACCCCTCACACCCCGCCCGTCCCTGCCTCGCCTACCCCTCACACCCCGCCCGTCCCTGCCTCGCCTACCCTTCACACCCCGCCCGTCCCTGCCTCGCCTACCCCTCACACCCCGCCCGTCCCTGCCTCGCCTACCCCTCACACCCCGCCCGTCCCTGCCTCGCCTACCCCTCACACCCCGCCCGTCCCTGCCTCGCCTACCCTCACACCCCGCCCGTCCCTGCCTCGCCTACCCTCACACCCCGCCCGTCCCTGCCTCGCCTACCCTTACACCCCGCCCGTCCCTGCCTCGCCTACCCCTCACACCCCGCCCGTCCCTGCCTCGCCTACCCTCACACCCCGCCCGTCCCTGCCTCGCCTACCCCTCACACCCCGCCCGTCCCTGCCTCGCCTACCCTCAAACCCCGCCCGTCCCTGCCTCGCCTACCCTCAAACCCCGCCCGTCCCTGCCTCGCCTACCCTCACACCCCGCCCGTCCCTGCATCGCCTACCCTCACACCCCGCCCGTCCCTGCCTCGCCTACCCCTCACACCCCGCCCGTCCCTGCCTCGCCTACCCCTCACACCCCGCCCGTCCCTGCATCGCCTACCCCTCACACCCCGCCCGTCCCTGCATCGCCTACCCTCACACCCCGCCCGTCCCTGCCTCGCCTACCCCTCACACCCCGCCCGTCCCTGCATCGCCTACCCCTCACACCCCGCCCGTCCCTGCATCGCCTACCCTCACACCCCGCCCGTCCCTGCCTCGCCTACCCCTCACACCCCGCCCGTCCCTGCATCGCCTACCCCTCACACCCCGCCCGTCCCTGCCTCGCCTACCCCTCACACCCCGCCCGTCCCTGCCTCGCCTACCCCTCACACCCCGCCCGTCCCTGCCTCGCCTACCCTCAAACCCCGCCCGTCCCTGCCTCGCCTACCCTCAAACCCCGCCCGTCCCTGCCTCGCCTACCCTCACACCCCGCCCGTCCCTGCATCGCCTACCCTATACCCCGCCCGTCCCTGCCTCGCCTACCCCTCACACCCCGCCCGTCCCTGCCTCGCCTACCCCTCACACCCCGCCCGTCCCTGCATCGCCTACCCCTCACACCCCGCCCGTCCCTGCATCGCCTACCCTCACACCCCGCCCGTCCCTGCCTCGCCTACCCCTCACACCCCGCCCGTCCCTGCATCGCCTACCCCTCACACCCCGCCCGTCCCTGCATCGCCTACCCTCACACCCCGCCCGTCCCTGCCTCGCCTACCCCTCACACCCCGCCCGTCCCTGCCTCGCCTACCCCTCACACCCCGCCCGTCCCTGCCTCGCCTACCCCTCACACCCCGCCCGTCCCTGCCTCGCCTACCCCTCACACCCCGCCCGTCCTCCCGACGATAATCTCATGTTAATATGATGTGCCTATTTATTTATAGGTAATTATCCATCATTATATATAACGCATTATATGTCACATTATACTATGCAATTATGCTTTATGTGAAACAATCCCAGGCTAGACAAAAGTTTCCCAAAAATTGTAAACTGTTATGAAATAAAAGTTGTTGGCCCAGTTTCAACCTATTCACTCACAAAGTAGTCCGTTGTGCCGTAGTGACAACCACACACGCACATCAACGATAACATCATCAACGACAAAACAACACAAACAACAATAACAAAAAATGACCCTTAGTACCATACAAAAACAACTACTTCAGAAAATGTAGCGAACAAAGCCTAATCCAGAGACATCACATAAACAACAATAATTCCTTTATAAAACTATAGTATATAACAAGTACAGGAACACCAACTGTAATATAAATATTACAGTATCATCAACTGTAACATAAATATTACAGTATCAACTGTAATATAAATATTACAGTATCATCAACTGTAACATAAATATTACAGTATCATCAACTGTAACAAAAATATTACAGTATCATCAACTGTAACAAAAATATTGTCAGTAGCATCAACTGTAACAAAAATATTACAGTATCATCAACTGTAACAAAATATTACAGGAGCATCAACTGTAACATAAATATTACAGTAGCATTAACTGTAACATAAATATTACAGTAGCATTAACTGTAACATAAATATTACAGTAGCATTAACTGTAACATAAATATTACAGTAGCATTAACTGTAACATAAATATTACAGTAGCATTAACTGTAACATAAATATTGCAGTAGCATTAACTGTAACAAATATTACAGTAGCATTAACTGTAACATAAATATTACAGTAGCATTAACTGTAACATAAATATTACAGTAACATTAACTGTAACATCAATATTACAGTAGCATTAACTGTAACATAAATATTACAGTAGCATTAACTGTAACATAAATATTACAGTAGCATTAACTGTAACAAATATTACAGGAGCATCAACTGTAACATAAATATTACAGTAGCATTAACTGTAACATAAATATTACAGTAGCATTAACTGTAACATAAATATTACAGTAGCATTAACTGTAACATAAATATTACAGTAGCATTAACTGTAACATAAATATTACAGTAGCATTAACTGTAACATAAATATTACAGTAGCATTAACTGTAACATAAATATTACAGGAGCATCAACTGTAACATAAATATTACAGGAGCATCAACTGTAACATAAATGTTACAGGAGCATCAACTGTAACAAATATTACAGTAGCATCAACTGTAACAAAAATACTACAGTAGCATCAACTGTAACAAAATTACTACAGTAGCATCAACTGTAACAAAAATACTACAGTAGCATCAACTGTAACAAAATTACTACAGTAGCATCAACTGTAACAAAAATACTACAGTAGCATCAACTGTAACAACAATAACTACTACAGTACCATCTATCAAAACAAAAACTAATGTACTGCCATCACTTATACAACAACAACGACCGCATCATCAATCAGACAACAGCAGCTGCTACAGGGCCATCAATCAGGAGACAATAACAACTGAAGTACTATCAATCAGACCACAATACCAGCTACAGTATCATCAATCAGGGAACATTAAGAACTATAATGTCATCAATGAGACAACGGTAACTGCTATAATGCCATCAATCAGACAACAGTAACTGCTATAATGCCATCAATCAGACAACAGTAACTGCTATAATGCCATCAATCAGACAACAGTAACTGCTATAATGCCATCAATCAGACAACAGTAACTGCTATAATGCCATCGATCAGACAACAGTAACTGCTATAATGCCATCGATCAGACAACAGTAACTGCTATAATGCCATCAATCAGACAACAGTAACTGCTATAATGCCATCGATCAGACAACAGTAACTGCTATAATGCCATCGATCAGACAACAGTAACTGCTATAATGCCATCAATCAGACAACAGTAACTGCTATAATGCCATCAATCAGACAAAACAGTAACTGCTATAATGCCATCGATCAGACAACAGTAACTGCTATAATGCCATCGATCAGACAACAGTAACTGCTATAATGCCATCAATCAGACAACAATAACAACTACAATACCATCAATCAGACAACAATAACAACTACAATACCATCAACCAGACAACAACAATTGACTACAATACCATCAACCAGACAACAACAATTGACTACAATACCATCAACCAGACAACAATAACAACTACAATACCATCAATCAGACAACAATAACAACTACAATACCATCAACCAGACAACAATAACAACTACAATACCATCAACCAGACAACAATAACAACTACAATACCATCAACCAGACAACAATAACAACTACAATACCATCAACCAGACAACAATAACAAACTACAATACCATCAACCAGACAACAATACAACTACAATACCAAAGTAAATGTACTCAGCGTTTTATTACTGTAGGTGAACTAGATATATTGTTTTTTCTTTATTAAATAATATACAATATAAAGGTCATATATACATCAATTTACAAGGGACTAATGAACAAATCAGTGTAGTGTAGTGTAGTGTAGTGTAGTGTAGTGTAGTGTACAAGGGACTAACTACATTGCTGTGTTAGGAACATATATTTTTAAATTTGTCAGGTTATTCTTGTAACAGTCTTGATGAATGTTCGTGGTAAAAAGATATATGTAATAATTTATAGACAAAAGCTATAGTGCCATAAAGGATCTCATTTGCTCTTTGTCCAGAATTCGAATTCCAGGGACGATCAGTAAGGAATGAAATGTAATAATTAATATAATTCATTGTGTCGGGGGGACAGGCAGTTGTATATTATATATATGTTAGGCTACTATCGAAGCCCCCCCCCCCCCCCCGAGGTCGAACTACTTTTTTTTTTAGGGATGCAACCCTACAAAAAAGTGACTAACACCTGGGTACCAGGTGGACAGGGGCATTAGGTGATTGGAAACACGGCCAACTATTTTCACCTACAATATTGTAACATGCATCCTAAACGACATGGATGAAGGAGTGGAGTGTCACTAGATGCCACAGTGGTGATCCTGGGAAGGTGTAAATTCTCAGTTGAGTGCCAGTTAGGTACTTCTGGGAATTATCCTTGTCGTGAACATCTTGGACTAGTGGCCATGATGCTCGAGTTAGAGTCTCTGATGATTCAAATACAGTAAATTTATTGCCATTGTCAATGATATTTATTATCGATTGCTTCTTATTTGACACTAAATGGGATACCTGGCAGTGGCCATGTCTCTCTTCTCTTTCTCCTCTCCCCTGTTTCCCTCATCTCCCTCTTCCCATCCTCTCCACCTTTCTTCCCCCTTCCCTATACCCACCCCCCCCCCTCCTCTCTCTCATATCCCACTTTTTCATTTCTCCCCTATCTTCCCTTTCCCCACTCTCAGAA